ACCTCCTGTCTCTGCTGCTCTGGACTCCAGAGCAGAAGAGACTCGTTCTCTGAAGTGATGAATCGTGTCTCTCCATCTGGAAATCTGATGGGTTTGGTGGTTGCAAGGAAAGTTGTACTTGTCTGACTGCATTTTGCCAAGTGTAAAGTTTGGTGGAGAGGGAATTATGGTGTGGTTTTGTTTTATATTTTTTTTCTCATGAGCAGGGCTCGGACCTTTAGTTACAGTGGAAGGAACTCTGAGTACTTCAGCATAGCAAAACATTTTGACATTTCCATGCTGCTAACATTGTGGGAACTTTTGGGAGCTGAAACCATAGATGGCAGAGTGTGTTGTGTATGAACTTGACTAGCCTGCACAAACGCAACCTGATAGAACACATTTGGGATGAATTAGAGGAGAGATTGAGAACCAGGCCTTCTTATTCAACATCAATGTGTGACCTCACCAATGCTCTTCTGGATTAATGGTAAAACATTCCAAGAAGCAAACTCCTAAACCTTGTGTACAGCCTTTCCAGAAATGTTGAAGCACTAAAAAGTCAAAGAATGACTGTCTCAGGTCAAGTTATTCAAGGCTTAATTTTCTGGCCCAGACAGTTACCGCAAGAAATCATAGAATATAAATACTTACAATATCTTAAGTTAACACAGCTGAGAGAACTTTGGACAGATGTTTCATTAGTTCCAGATTAGACTGAGACACATACATAAAAAACCCATTAATCTTCATATATAATGAACACATCATCAGCTAGCATTCTTAACTCTTTTCCTCCCTCATGTGCATAAATCTGTTTGCTAAACCACAACCCTCAAATGTCGGGTAAGACTGAATTATAGGTTTTCTGTTTGTTTTTAGTATTTTTGATGTGCAGCTTTGGAAGAGGCATGGGGGTAAAAACCATGTACCAAGAACACACTACTTTAATACATTTCTTAATAATGTAAAACTTAAAAGTAGCCATTAAAAAAGAAAATTATTCAAGAAGGGGAAAAAAAGATAAATAGAATGGCTAATCAAGAACTGACCTCTCAGTGACAATCAACAATTTGCTGTATTTTCACTTAATCTCAGAGTAGTTTAGCAGTCAGAAAAAAGCATAGTTTGAACAAACAAAAAGTCTTTCTGTAAAATAAACTGTGTGTCTTTATCTAGTGCATTTCTGGATAAACAGTGCTTGTTTTTCCTTGAGTAAAATTAATTAACTTTGGATGAGAAGCCAGATATGTCAAATAGTAATGCTTCATAAGAAGAGTTATTTACGTAAAAGTTGAAGGTATAACTACCATTAAAAGTATTTTTTTACCTTAACATATTGTAACTATTTATGTTTTATGATTACTCAACTATCAACATTTTTTTTAGAAAATATCTGGCCTAATTTTATATCTTTTTACTTATCTTTTCAGCAGTGGCGGCTGGTGAAAAATATTTTTGGTGGGGCTGATATAGCCTAGTGTATGTCTCCAACTAATCCAGAACAAGAATTCAAATAAACAATTGGACAATAAATACAATTAAACAGTACTGATTTAATTTACTATATAATAACAGTAACAGTGATGATTTTGGTCACTGTGACGGGGTTCTTTGGCCTCCAAGAATCCAGGCTCAGTCGGGTTACCGGTGTTGGTGATTTATTGTGCTCAAAAACCCAAAACAGGGTGCAAAAGAAACTAAACATATACAAGATACTCTGGGCCTCAGCCTCCCTCCAGTTACCAGCAATCAGACATGGGCAATGTGGAGTCAACAAGTCATCTCCATGTCATGTATTTGTTCTACCCAGCCACTGAAGCAGGT